ATACTCCTCCTTTGCAGTTGAGAGCTTTTCTCTTAACAGATTTGTGAATATAAATTGTTTCAGAAATCCAGCATTATATGTCTTAGGTCATATGTGTCAAGTAATTAGCAGTCCTTAAACATAGAAATTTGCTTTATTTCATCCTCGATCCATCATTGCTCTGTATTTAATTCAACATTTTCGAACTCAAATTGGCAAAGTGAACCGAACTTGAAATATAATTTCGTGTATTTTAATTTGTGTATATATGTATGTTTTTATTTATATTTATTTACATTAATAAGTCTGTGTTTTTTCATTTACAACAACACCAAGAAATGGTTAATTTATACATGAAGAGTATTATAGAGGAAAACATGGATTATGTACATGTGTGTGTGTATATTCATAACACTAGGGTGACCCTCGTAATGTAAAATACTTTAACGATTTTTCTAAACAAAGGTTTAGATTTTCAAGGGCTTAAAGAGTGCACCGCGAGGCGAAATAAGACGGGAATTCGGAATGCAGGTCGTATCGGCACAACGGTATGTATTACCTACGAAAGCATCAAAAGCTTCAGAAAATGATTATGGATGACCATAAAATAAAAGTTATTAATATAGATGATACTACCGTGATCAAATTTTTTCGAATCGGTAAATTTTTTCTGTAAGTTAGTAGTGCTGTTAGTGACATCTATGCTAAATTTCACGTCAAAATATTCATTCGTATGTGAGGCTCTAAAAAAAGTGAATTCTTCGATTTTTACTATGACTGAATTTATCGAACAAAGAAGTGTGATAATGCACCATCTCATACTGCATTGGTAATTTGTGATCATTTTGCCACATTTTCAACTAATATCGTGCCGCAACCACCGCATGCGCTTGATTTACCTTCGTGTAACTTCTGGTTATTCAGCAAATTCCTATGACCACTCCGAGGACACCGTTTAGACGCAATTAAGGATATAAAAGCAGAATCGAAGAACTCTCTGGTCTCCATCATGACGGAGGATTTTTCCAAATGCCATGATGACTGGCAAATTCGTTGGCATAAGTGTATTGCAGCGGGAAGGGATTACTTCGAAGGAGATCAAAGAGACAAAATTCACCTTTCAACTTGATCACAGTAGTAGTACTAGATATCAATTTTTATCACCCTAGTATCATGCATATTCATTCGCCTAGTGCCCACTAACTGAATATCCAGATTTCAATCATATTTTTAGTGTTGATAAACCGAATATTCTTTATGCGAGCACCTGAAGGCATTTAATAAGTCATGTATGCGAGTAGTATATGTATGTATGTACATATCTATGTATTTAAATATGCATATCCCCGTAAAGTGTGAAAGGTGGTCTAAAAATTTTGACATGTTACTAGATTAATTTGTGTAATAATTTTCAAACATAAACCGATGGCTCGTAGATCGTGTTTCACTAAATTACGAGCTTCAATGGAAACACTGCCACACATACACACTTTATAAGGAGCTTCTCTATTTAAGGGTTACTTAAGGAAAACGTATATGTTTGCTTAATTCAGTGTACATTTTCAATACAGCTAATAAGTGTAAAGCTCAGTGTATGAGACTTACTAGACATAAAGAATGCTTCGCCCTGGTAATATGGAAGGTAAACGTGGTCTTCATTCGTATTTTGATCACCCTTAATGCCATAACAAGGATCCCAATCGTTTGTGTCACCTGAGACACAGTTTGTTGTACAAAAAATATATATTTATTTTAGGTATAGAACTGTCAGTTTTAAATTTGTTTTGAATTTATCAAGTTTGTTTCGAATATTATACCAGAGTATAATGAGGATAGGTATATACATACAATGGATAAAGTAAGATTGTTTAACTTTGTGTCATATTTGTGGAGTGCTTCGCATTGTGTTATTCGAGTAGCATGTCAAAGTTTTTATACAGGCATTACATACAAGTATTCGAGGTCAAACATTCTCAAAATACAGCTGGACTTTTAAATGAATGAAGTGTTGTAAAGCCATTGTTTCTCTATGCATATGTTTAAATGAAATATAAAGGGTGCTTTATGTGACACACGAGATGTTGAACCAAGCAAAACATTATTTTTTCTTTCAAATGTAAATGAAATGATAGTACAATTGTTCCTACATATGAACTAAATAGAAAAATATTCTTTAAAGTATTATTTAAACATACCGCCTTCTTCCTCCGAATCGGACATAAATGATTCATGCATTGCCTCCGGTGCAACGACACGATACTTCTCGTCAGTTTGAGTTTGTGCTGCCGCATCCGGCTCATTCGTGATCGACTTCAATGAATCCAAAACGCTTATGTAACCCAGTTTGCGTGCAATGTGTAACGGGGTCTGTCCATTAACCGTCTGAGCATTGGCATTCGCTTTATGCTCCAAAAGCAGATTAACGATGTGGCAATGTCCTTGCTGAGCAGTTTGATGTAATGGCGTATAACCGATAGATGTGGCCGCGTCTACATTGGCGCCGTGATGCAACAAAAAGCGCACCATATTTGCCTGACCGAAATGTGCGGCCACATGCAGTGGCGTATAGCCGGCTTTGGTGGCCATGTCAATGTTGGCGCCATTGCGTTGCAAGATTTCAGCAACATTCACGTTGTCTTCTTGGGCACATAAATGCATTGGAGTTAGACCATTCTTGGCAGGATGATTGACACCGGCCTTGTGCTCGATTAGCAAGTTCGATATCTCGGCATGCCCCTCCTGTGGAATAATAATATTTTTGTTAGAGACGGTACTTTAAGGTTGATAATCAGCAGTTATTGTAAAACAAACGCTACCTCTGCTCTCACGCTTGTTTACAGTTGCATGGACACTTCTGCATCCATTTACTCACCTGACAGCTCAAATGTAATGGTGTGAAACCAGCTTTGCTCTCCGCATTTGCCTGTGCGCCGTACTCCAATAGCGTTGTAGCAATGTCCATTTGATTTTTACGTGCCGCAATATGTAACGGTGTATGCCCGTTTTTAGCTATAGCATGCGGGCTGGCACCTTTCTCCAGCAGCAAAAGAGCGACTTTTTGATTATCATAGTGACAGGCCACATGCAATGGTGTAACACCGTTCTTTCCCTGTGCGTCCACATCCGCCTCCTTTTGCAACAACAATTGAGCAACCTTGATGTGACCATATTTGGCTGTCAAATGCAGTGGTGTGAAGCCCTTCTTCGTGGCAGCATCCAAAGCTGCGCCATTTTCGATTAAAACGGCAGCGACCTGAAGGATAATATTTACAATACTTCTGTATAAGTCTTAAAGAATATATTATATGTGTGTGTTTAAAAGTGATAAAGGATTGCTACAGGAATAATACAAAATGAAAATTGTTTATTTCATAATTTATTAAACATTATATTGAGGCAACAAATAAATAATAACAGTGTAATCAGAACAACATTAAACAAACTTGTGGCAAATATAACAAAAATAACAAATAATCACTTTAAAGCTCTTACAAAATACTAAAGAAAGAACTTAACGGTAAAAACTAAATACTAGATATATCAGCTTTCAATATACCACTGTCGAATAGATGGTTAAGACAAAAAAGTTTGCTTAAATAAATTAAATACTAAATCAGTACCAAAAAAATGTGAGAAAGCTTTTAAAAGTGCTTTGTAAAAATAATTTGATTTTCTTTTAATTTTTTTTTTTTATAGAAATACTGAAAACATAAAGCAAACTTGGATTAAAGTGAAAAAAAATTAATTATAAAAATTATTGTATCTAAAGTAAAAATAATACGTGTTTGCCTTTTTTGCTATTTTTAAAGATACTTCTTGGAATCCACATTTTTATCTGACAGAGTAGTGGTTTTTGGAACAAAAAATTTGTAACATCAATAACAAGAACTTAGGTGACATTAAAAATTGAAACGAAACTTAAACTAGGTGTACATAAAATGAGTAAAAACTAAAAAAAAGATACTATAGATCAAATGAAATACTCCTGATGGCGTATCCAAAACAATTGCATCAAATAAACCGTATCAATGTGGTCCACAATTTTTTTCGCAATCAATTGCTTTACCTCATCCTGACCTTCTTTGGCCGCAATATGCAAAGCAGTGTACATATCTTTGGTGGTGGCATCCACTTGAGCGCCATGTTGCAGCAATAGCATAACAATATCTACGTTACCGAGACGCGAGGCGATGTGCAACGGCGTTTGCTGTTCACGTGCACGTGCATCCACTTGAGCACCATTGCGCAGCAAAATGCGTATAATATCAGTCTGTAAAGGCAATGAAGCGTTGTTAATTAAAATCACAGTTACACCTTTTCGCTAATCCAGCCCACCAACACTTACCTGATTTGCACGTGCGGCCAAATGTAGTGGGGTCTCCCCGCGCACGGTCGGCACATCTGGACTAGCGTCATGTTGCAGCAAGTAGATGACAATGTTCATGCAGCCCATAAAAGCGGCTACGTGCAGCGGCGTCAAGCCGCTCTCCGTTGTGGCACTAATGCTAGCACCGTGACGCAGCAGCAACTCCACGACCTTTATGCGATTCTTCTTGCAAGCAATGTGCAGCGGGGTGAAACCGTTGAGCGCACGTGCATTGGCATCGGCATTGCGATCGAGCAATAGCTTAGCGACACGCACATGCCCGCAATGTGCTGCCACATGTAGCGCCGTCAAATAGTCGACGGTGACTTCATCAACGGGTGCACGATGGTAGAGCAAAATGCGTGCGGCATCTACATGCTCACCCTGCGCTGCCATATGTAGCGGTGCGAGACCGTTCTTCGTTTTAGCGCTAATCGGGGCGCCGCGCTCCAATAGCATGTCGACAACTTGCTCGTGACCGGAACGAGCCGCACAATGCAACGGGGTTAAACCATCGCGTGTTTTGGCCTCTATATTAGCACCTTTCTCCAACAGCAAGGAAACCATATTTGTTTTACCCCATTTTGCGGCAACATGCAACGGACTGATATTGTGCTTAGCGGCGAAATTGACGTCGGAACCCTTTTGTATGAGTAGGGTGGCGATGGCTTGATTGCCATAGTGGGAAGCAATGTGCAACGGTGTAAAGCCAGATTTGGAAGTCACGTCAGGATTGTGATCGTTCTGTAAGATGAATATCGAAATTTCCATATTAGCGTATACAATAATTTCATATTCAATGCATACTCACATCTAAAAGTAGTGTGGCGGCCTTCACATCGTCTTTCTTGGCCGCAATATGCAATGCAGGCAAACGCACCTTACCGCGTGTATCGCTCTCCAAGAGCACGGCGACGACTTTGTCGTGTCCTTGCTGCATAGCAACTGCCAGTGGCGTAAACCCATCTTCAGTAGCCAAGCTTTGATTGGCGCCGTTGGCCAGCAGCAGCTTCACAACAGAATCGTGGTTCTCCTGCGCAGCCATATAGAGTGGCGTAAAGCCGTTCTGCGATTGTACATTCACGGCGGCATTATGTTCAAGCAAGAGTTTCACCACCTCTTCCTGCCCGGCAAGCGAAGCAATATGTAGTGCTGTGTTGCCCTTCTTTGTTGCACTATCCACAATAGCGCCACGCTTTAACAGCTCCGAAACGACATGCGTATGCCCATCCTTCGAAGCCAAATGCAGTGCATTCAAGCCATTCTAATTTAACAGTCAAAAAAATTGTGTTAAAAAAGATCGAGGGTATTAAAATAAATACTTACAGTGTTGCTTGTGTTAATGTCAATATTATTTTTTAAATGTTCCAAAACTCGTTCTAAATTACCAGCTCGAGCAGCGCGTAGAAATGACGTGTTTCCATCGCCCTGTAACAAAAGTAACAAAAAATCAATGAATGCGTTTTGAAGATTTATTGAGAAATATTTATTAAATTAAAATAAACAGGGTTTGTCTTGAAAGTAATATGACTGATTTTCTTCCGCCGCGACTGTACTGCGGAACGTGCACGCACCGACTGGATTCGTTCCTAGCTAACGAACGACCGGCTGGTCAGTAGCCTCCGAGCACTTAGAGAGTCAGGACAAACATTTTCGTCCACCATGAATTAGTTTCTCCTGGACAAACCGTCAACTTCAAGTTTTACGTGGAAGTCCTCGAGAGACTCAAACGAAGGGTCAATCGGGTCCGACAAGACATCGCAGCCGATTGAAAGTTGCACCACGACAACGCCCCGACTCACTCCACCTCTCTTGTGAACAGCTACCTAACTAAGGCCAGCATACCAATGCTTTCGCAGCCGCCTTACAACCCGGACGCGGTTTTTTTTTTTATTTCCTTGCCTGAAATCGAGCATCGACGCAGAAAGAGCCTATTATGAAAGTTTTTAATGAATTGTAACAATTGGTTCAATAATTTTTTTAAAATCGACTCAGTCCTATTATTTTCCGGACAAAACCTATGCATGGACCATTGTTGCCAAAGTATCAAGATATACATTTATGAAATTTTCAAAGCGTGCGGCCATTTTTATAATAAAAGAATAAATCCTTAATATTAATGTTTGACAGAGCATTATGAGCATTACACCGCCTAACAACCTTAACACCTGCAAAAAAAAAATGGTCATTCAACTTGCACAGGTGCATTAGAGGTTACCGGTTGCCTCCCAACCATGCTACCACCCAACAGCTAACAAACGGAAAGCAATGACAAGCCAAAGTACGCACTCTGATATGCAACCAGCTGTCAGCAAGTGCATTCGCCTGTATACACATATACATTCCCAAATATATAATATAACACATACATAAATACATAAATAACACGGTAAACTACAAAAGTTGTTTACTTGCATTTGTTTACAAATTGAGGGGTTGAAAGTCGAGCATGTACTTTAAAATCAAAACACTTCGACTTCGAAAGAGCGCGTATTATCGAAAATGGCGTCATCATTTCGAAAGAGAAGTTCGAATTACGAATTGCGCTCTCAACAACCCTCACCGCTCGTTTCTTCCGTTTTTGATTTGCTTCCGGCTGGAAATGAAGTGTTCTCATAAATAAATGGTAGACAGTGATTTTTTTCTGCATTTTCCCTCTATGTTTACCTACATATGTCGTGCATTGAAAGGAACCATCCCTTTTATACTTTTGGCATTTCCCATTAAAAATCCGCTTTTGGCATGAATATGTGAAAGAACATAAATACCGGAAGTAATTTCACATTTTAATAATATTTACTCAAGTAAATGAGCTTGCTTGCGAATATAAAAGGAATCGCAAAGTATAGTGACGTACACGTTGATATCAAAGCTTGAAGCTTTTAGAAAAGAATTCAATACTAGCTTCTGGAGAAATATTTATTCACACTTATAGATTTTTACATGAGGATTGCACCGCGACCTTCGGTCTATTGTGCCCCTCACTAATAGAAGAATAGTTGCAAAAACATTCTTAAACGTTTTAATTATAACCTTTTTTTCATAGTTAATATCAGAATCATCTTGGACCTCTAAAGTCGTTTATTTCTATGTGATTTAAGCTAGACATAAACTAGTAAAATAGTTTTAGCTTATACCCTAGCAGTCTTATAAATGCAACTCATTACTGAAATGGGTATAGAAAATTAATATCACTTATTTTAGTTAATAAATCGCCTCCCTCGCAGCATTAAGTATAATGCGTACACATGTACTCATATATGTGTACATAAGACAAATGACAATTTTCCAAACCTTTCCAAATTTATGGCATATGACTCATTTGGGCGAAGAGTTCGCATAATAATAAGCAAACAGGACCTGCGGGTACAGTAAATATGCAAAAACATTGTCAGTGCATAACTCGAAATTGGGTTAGTCTAAAAATAAATGAATGTCGGATATGAAACACGCACATCCGTCATACTGTCAAGTCACATTCAAGCCGCACCCAAAGCTAAATTATCTCATTAATGCACGCACAGCGTATACATACACAAGTACATACGTGAACAATGCTAAAAACACGTTCCCCTGAAACTAAGCACAAACTGAATGCTATCATATGTTTGCATATAAAGTTAGTTATCCTGCATGAAGTACCATTTTAATCACTTGCCAATTTTCACACAATTACTGTACAATCGCCTGCACTGCCCCTCACCACGGCAATGATTGCGTATACGAAAGTAGTTTGCCGTTACAAAAGAGAATAGGAAAATCGATGAAATTTTCACCACCTCAAATGGGTGGGTCCCAATGAACATTTCTTGCAATATTTTAAATAAAATTTAAACAAGTTACGAATATCAATGAAAAATTAATGTTTCTGCCAAAACCCCGCAAATCACCTCAAATATTATGGAATTCAGTGGTGAAAGAGCAATTATTCAATGCAACTATGAAAAATCGATATTTTCAAAGATGGACGCCAATATGGCTGCCGCATAGTCCAACAGAAAAATTGTGGATTTCCACTTGAATTAATCGACTTTTAATATAAAAAACATAATAGAAATATAGAAATTTACCTGGGTTCCATTTTCAGTGACCATTTTGTAAAAAATCTAAATCGTTTGAAGGTTTTGCAGGCAATTTTCTTCACTTAAAATTTATATAGTATAGAGAAATTGTGTAAGTCGATGTCGTCACTGCTTAGTCATAGCTTTCATAACTTTTCCTGGATTGAAATTTTCATTTATACGCACGATAATTTATAAAAACTTATTGAATGTGACCTTTTAAAGGCTTTGTCGTATTTTTTCAATTAAATTTGTTACTTAAAATACTTTAAAATTCGTTTTTAATACTCTATATGTATGTATATTATATTTATGTATATCTATATAGTGCTCTATGGTAGATAGCTTTTTCACTTAGACGCTGATGTTAAGAAGAATTTTTGCTTCCGATTTCTTGAAAATTTTACTCTAGACTGGATGTGACCGCAACTTCAGCGTATCCTAGTAGCTGACTACCAAGTTGCCGACTCAGGATGTTCGAAGGACCTGCGCAGTGCATATTCGAAACGAGTGTTTTCGAAGTCAAGCATTCGGAGTAACGAGAGTACTTCGAAGAAATAGAGCGAGCAAATGGAATCAACAGCTACAGAGAGCCACTACAAATGCCGGTCGCGTGCCATGCAATGTGTTTCACCACGTGCATCTGTTATTGTTTTGATTAGTTGCCGGTTTATACATCTTTCTTCGATAGTATCATATATAGCGAATTGTACATGCATATGCCTAGCTTTAGCTCGCACATGCGCAACCCTGATTTCATTGAGATACTTTAATATCTCTGGAATACTTCATATTACTTTGTCATTTAGAAGCCCGCACTAGCAAATCATGCTGAACCATTTTGATGTTTTTGATGATTCATTGAACAGCTTCTCGAACTACATATGTGTTCATGTGTACTCTTTGAAACAACCACTTTATTAATTAAACAGTAATGAAATGTATTGATCATAAGATTTTTCATGCTAAATCCATTAAGGAAAGAAATGAAATGGGCCATTATAGGACGTAAAAAATTATGTCTTTATCGATGGCTATTCAAAATCACTCACCAGTTAATTGTTTGAAAGCACGCAAAAAAACGAAATTGAATATCTTTAAGAAGGCTCTCAAATAAAAAGGGAAACAAATTTGCTAAACCCCATCCTTCGGAAATCTAATTTTTTGTAGAGTCAATACACAGCTCATTTGCTAGACATTTGACACTTTTGAGTGAGAAGCATGATAGACTCTTCGAAAAAGCTTTCGGAATTATATATATCGGGCTGAGCTCACTAAACGACAAGCTCCACGTAGACTTGATTCGGGTTCCCGGCCACAGGATAATTTTCGGTAACGAAAAAGCAGACGAGTTAGCAAAGGCAGGATCGATCTAAAGAGAGTTCAATATAAAATTCCAACAAATTTCAGATAACAGATGGAAAAACATAAAAAGTACAGTTATGGCCAAAATATGACAAGAAAAGAACTAACGACTTATTAAATAGGCCCAGGAAAGGTATCTACAGGAAACCACAAAATGGTTTGAAAGAGAAGGGAAAACGTGATAGCAAATATAAAAGGTCAAAATGGCACAGCCAGTGCTAATTGAGCCCGAAAGACGACAGGGCTGCACTCCTACCTACTTACCTATATATTCCGGGTCCCAGTTGGATTCTCCAATGAACCCAATCGTCTATATATATTTTTAACAATTCGCCCTTTCTCACTTTTCTTAATTTATATACATATGTATTTACGCATTTGTAGAATGTCATACCCAGTACTCTGGCAACCTGCATCGCAAACGCGAACCCAAAACTACATTTACATACGCACATCCATATTTATATATGCATATTTACATACAAGCATGCATTACGCTTGCATGTTAACATAAATTGAACTGCATTTCCGTGACACATAAGAAATCAAGCCGCAGCCATACCCGAGCCACATACGTAGCGTGAAACTCACCCACCAACTCGGTCGCGCTTTATTTGCAAACTAATCGAGTTTCAAATGCATTTTCGGCTTCATCCTCGTCAAAACATGCGCCCCTTCGCAAGAACTTCCTCAGAAGAGGGTTGCTTTACCCTTCAATTCGCACTTTTATTGTGTTTCGCACGACTGCACGTGTACATATGTACATATGTATATATATGTACATAAAATGTGTGACAGTTGTTTATTTCAAAGGCTCAAGCTGTTATGACTTTTTAAGAAACTGTAGAAAAAAAGTCTAAAACCATTACTCAATTATTAATGATCACTTTAGCCAAAAACTATAAAATCTCATAAAAAAATTCCATTTGGATCTGAAGGGTGTAGAGAGAATATTGTAAACATTTGGTTCAATTTGTTTTAGTATTTGCTGGAATATGGAAATTTGCCAAAAGTGGCTTAATTGACCAAGTTTTTTGCTTACAAGTATAGACGGATGGACAGACAGATGTCCAAAATTCGATTTACCTTTTATCACTTTGATACATATCCCTATATCCATTTCGCTTAGCTTTCTTAGTTTTAGAGTTTACAAATGCAAATAATTTAAATGTTGGCACATATTTTACTGAAAATTTCTTACTTCCTTCCCCTTTCCACATATATTCCAAAACACAATAACATTAAATAGAACTGTAGAATTATGGATTTATACACCTCGTTTCCATTAGCGGAGAACATATATGAAACTGTTTTTATACTCTCGGAACGGAGTATAATAGTTTTGTTCACCTAAAACTAATCGAGATAAACGTGCATATAAATAATTGGGCTGATGACACGAGTCGAAATCTGAGTGACTGTCTGTCCCACCGTCCAACTTCAGTAAAAATAGAATGAAATGAAATATGTATCTTAATGAAGCTTGATTCACGTGTTCTTTGGCAAAAATAAGGTAGGAAGAGTTCGTAGATACTGATTTGATACATACATACTTCTGCACACCTCTTCTAACCGCTTTCTTCTCTTAGCAATTTGGCGACAATGCGAGATAAAAATGCAGCCAGGTCCTTCTCTATCTGATCTATTGAACGGAGTGGATGTCTACCTCTTCCTTTGCTTTCCCGAGCGGGTACTACGTCGAATACTTTCAGAGCTATACGACGTGACCAAGCCAACGCAGCCGCTGTCTCTTAATTCACTGAACTATGTCAATTTCGTCGTATAAGACCAAACCCATTTGCTTTGCTTCCTTACGCAGTGTGGAGAAAGCAGAACTAACAGCGAGGATGCTGAAGCCAATGATATCAGTATCATCCGCATACGCCAACAGCTGAATACTTTTATAGAAGATGGTACCTGCTCTAGCAGTAGATTGAAGAAGTCGCCTGGTCTGAAACCTCGTTTGGCTCGGAAAGGTCCTTCCTGCTCCTGACGGAGTTTTTGGTATTGCTCAACGTCAGTTTACATAGCCATATTAGTATTGCGGGGATAATGAACTACAAGCATTAAATTTCACAACCAGGATGCAGGGAAGGATTCATGGTAACCGGTACAAAAAAATAGGACAACGGGCATAGCACGGCCCACTTTTAGATGAAACCGTATATCTCAGAAACTACTTGGCCAATTTCAATATGATTTCGTATATGTGGTTAAGCAATTATTACTATTGTACACTATGTCGATATCGGGTGACAACCACGCCTACTTCCCATATAACAAACTTTTAAAGTCCATCTGATTCTTTCAGTTTACAGTATACACATCAAACATGAATGAAGTTATTAGAATAAAGCTTTACACAATAGTGTCCTAAAGGTATGTAATGTTATGCAAAAACGTTGTCGAAATCGAACTGTGGCTTTGAGTTGTTTGAGTTCTAGTTTTGAAATTCGAGGAGAAATTTTTGTAATAACAGGGTGAAATGCGCGAAATCGACTTCTTAAATAAAATACCGAAGGGGTCTCTTTCTAATCTTATTTATCTATCTTTTTGCTTATGATTGTAAATAATAGATGCAATATTTTCTATTTTTTATTAAAATACAACCAAAGCATGTAGTCTTTATAAATAATAATAATTGTGCCAGAGTTTGTTGTTTCGACTAATGCCAAAAATTTCTCTAGTTACTGTGTAAAATTCGACTAATCCATGGAAAATAGTCCATTTTTATGTTATCTTCTTCCCTATTAGGTAAAAACTTATAATACGACTTGCCTTTTAAATAAAAAATTCTTAGTAATCAAATTGTCATAAACAGCAAGAACTTATCTCTGATGCTCTGATTTTCTTACAGGGTCTGCAAGCGTACAACTAGTTGTAGTATTGTATGTATGTAGTAACATATGTATTTATGTATTTATGCATAAACATATACATATGTATGTACATAAGAAGACATACATAATGAAGCAAATTACCTAGATTTGCTCAAGTAATGCATATAATTCGTTTTTGACTACAATTCACCAAGCAATTAAAATAAAATTATCGTTCTACCTTGCAAAGGGCGAAACTAGTTCGCCAGCTCGTTGCCAGCCCTCTTGCATGTAATCAATTTCCATAAAATTATTTTTCTCATTATTTATATACAATATTTTTCACATAGAACTCTTCACTTACACCCAAACTTTGGAGCGATGGAAAGCGTTTCTTCAAGGACAACATTCTTTTTTTTGTTTTTTGCTTTATTTGCGATTGGTTGGATAACTGTTAATCAATAATTTTAATTAATAGTGCTACGAATTCATTTAATTCGGTGCTTCACATTATAGCCCGACGAGCAAGCGGTGGCAAAACAGTTTGTATACTGCAAAGGAAAATGAAGTCCATTTTGTAGTTTCCGAAGTAGCATGTGGATATCATTATGGCGAGCAATTTCGAGTCGAGAGTACTTGTTTGTTCAGTATTTATGTTGTTTCGAGCAGAATTTTAAAAACAATTCCATCTATTTTTAAATTCTATTTCACTCAGAGAGAGAAATACAATTAGATATGCTCTGGGATTTAGTGTGATCATTTGGTTGTGGATCGTAGAATGGATTGCAGACAAAGTCGTTCCAATGAGCATTTATAGGAATCTAAAAAAATGGTTTGGTGTTATATGTACAGACTTAAGGTGGTTTCGGATCCGACGAATACCTATAATTTGCACTTTCTCTGTTATTAACGGAGAAAGTCTCTTTCTTTACCAATAACACTAATATGGAACATAATCCGGCAGGCATAAAAATACATATGTATACAGAAATATTTAATGTGGGTTAATGGAGATTAATGTGATTGTATGTGGGTTAATTGCAAAATTAAGTAAATAAACCATAACCGTGACTCACCATAACAACACACATGTACAACTTCATAAGATAAACAACGAGCGAAACGCACTACAGTGCCCTAAGAGGAAGGAGAAGTAAAAAATGCGAGTTTACAAAATCACTTTGTGTTGTGACCAAGTGGCTACACACATACATATGTATGTATGTGTAATGCCTCCCGCCCTTTCACCCAAATATTCTATTGCTTTAGCTGCCAAACTGGCGACATCGCTGAAAATCCAACATTTAAATCTTGACTGCGCAACATCTCTGTCTCATTGCGGAATTACGTCACTCTTTGTACATCTACACATCTCTACTCGCATATCATCTAACGGACAGGATATGCACAGTCATGTTATAGCCTTTGGGCGAACACATACCCAATTATAAACCTATTTGTAGCGATGTTATTTCTTGTCCATACAAATAACCATTGTGGGCCAATGTAAGATCTAAATATTGACATGAGCACCTGATTAACTGTAAATAAGCCATTAAGGAAGAGGTCAGCTTAACTACTTAATCATCTCTTAAAATACATATACACTCATTAAGGCATGTATAAATATTTTGATGAGACCACAAAGGATCTATTTTAATGTTTATGCCGCAAAAATCTATTATGGGCATGTCCATACACATACATTACATACTTAATGGTCTTATATATGTACATATACATATAAGCAGTTGGGTTACCATGTACTTACAGAGCTGTGATGTCCAAAATGCTCATGTTTGGCGCCATGTTTGCCCATGTGATAATGGTGTATGGGTGCGCCACTTGGCGGAGACGACAGTTGCGATGGTGGGCTATGGCGATGGTTGTGGTGCTGTTGTTCCTGATGATGCTGATGATGCAAATGCGGGTGGTGATTGTGTGATGTTGGCGGCGACGGCATGTTATGGCCGCTATGAGGCAAATGTGATGAGTGCTGCATACCAACCTGATGACCATGGTGATGTGGTACATGACCCTGCGAGGCCTCCAGTAATGTCGGTTGTATGTGCGTTACGAATTGTGCCATTTTAGTTCGGCGATTATATAATTTTTATGTTTTAAAGTGAATAATAATTTAATTAAGTTTCCAAACGATTTTGAGCTTTTAATTTGAAAGAAAATTTTCCTATATTTTTGTATATATGCAGATATAAAATTCACTGAACGCTTACGTGCAGGCACACACGTTAAACTTTTGTTTATCGTATTACTATCTAATTTTGTTCTTACATATATGGTGCATACTTTCTCTAAAATATTTATAATTATTCGAAAGAAGTTTCAATATTTTTTCACTTTCACCGCTTACGTGCCGCAAATTTTACATAAGATCACTTAGCAAATATACATATATGAGAGGGCATATTGTATATATGTATGTAACATATTTTTACTTTTCCAACTCTTCAACACATCTAAACAATATCCACTTTCTCCTGGACACTTTGAACCATACTTTAAAATTTCTTCACTTTCAAAACGATTAGATAACTTTTCCATAAAAATATTTTCACATTTTGTGGGTATACCAAAACTGGTTGTGAGCAATTTGTTTGTGTGAGTATTTGGTCTACAAGTGGAGATTTCGCAATGTCAGCCGTCAGGACAACCTTTTGCCAGGAACAATGTCGAACAACTGATAGTGCTGTCGTAAAATGCTCTGGCTTTAGCCTTTGCCTTATGGCATTGCAGGATTTCCACACACAAAACACTTCGCATCGCTTCGGCATCTACATCAGGCGAACACATGCGACAAAGCCCTGGCCGAGTGTAAGTATTGGTGTTAACAGGGCCAACCACCTCGTCGCTGTTGGCACAAAATCACAAGCAAATACAACGCAAACAAGGAAGCTACATCAATAGCAACAACAGCGAAATCGTCTCGCAAAAGAATGGCACCGAAGAAAGCATAATACATTAAATGTGTTCCTCATGGTCTGGCATATGAAAAAATAGACTCGTATTTATACGACCCCCTTTGCTAGGATGAGCAAAATAGGGTGTTGCCGCGCTTGCGATGTTGCTAAGATGCTCCACGGAGATGACATCCATACATTTATGAACATACATATATACCTATATACATATGTATATGTATGTGTGCATGTTTGTGCATGATGTACATATGTACATTTGTTTCTGTTACTGAATTGTTAATTTAGTCATATTACATACTTAAAAAGGAAGCTGTGCACTACATCCGGCATAACTTTATCCAAGTTGAGACTCTTATCCAATTCTCTTCGTACTTTCCTTATAACAATAAGGACTAGAACCTCGGTCAAGCATCCAGGCAACGGATGTGCGTTAATTTTGTATATATTGGATTATTGTACCCGAACGTTCTTATCACACACCTATTAAATTGGCTGGTATTTAGAATAGCATCCCCTATTTTCGGGGATAAAATGGGTATTACTGGAAAGCCGCTGACTTATAGTTTTAAAGATATTTGCATTTAAAGTTAAAAAATTGACCACTTTTAAATTGATAATTTGTATATTGTGAATACTTTTTCACTAATATTATGGCACTTTTCACTTTCTAACACTTTACTATAACGTTTTTGTATATTAATTTTTTTAAATATTTATTGCAAATAAAGCTTTATTTTAATTATTTTGTTTTAGTTAAGTAATAATTAAACAACAAGAATAGGGTTGCATACTAGCAAATAAATGGTATTGCCATATCTGCCTGGTTGTCAACAAATGAAAATAAGCGAAAACTTTATACCCCAAATACATAAGTGGAAAACGCCAAAAATCTTTAGCAATTTTTTATAAAAGAAAAAAAGTTGCAGAAAGGAGTTCTACACGAAAGAACTCTGAACACACCGGTACCAAATTTGCTAATATGGAACCCTACTCTTGTTGTGCAAATGCAGTGTATTTAATTTGGACATTTTTTATATAATTTAATATTATTAAACTAACGTTGACTTTGAAATGTCAAATACAAACATTCTCTCGACTATAATATCGGAGGTGCATTAAAAATACAATATTTGATAATAATGGCGGACATATATGTGGTAAGAGAAACGAGGATTACGGCATTGTGACATCGCTATACACAAACTGCTACGTAAAGTATACACATACATACTTCCATTCTCTGCTGCGGTGAGTAAGAACGTTACATTAAACTGACGATATATACGCATACAGCGGGATTCTGTAACCAATCTCTAGTCTCTATTTGAGACATTTTGAGGTAAAGTCTCAATTTATGTCTAGTTATTATTCACTAAACAGTCTCTAGCGTTAGTCTCAAAATATTGCCGCAATTTGAGAGCTGATAGTTAGCAGGTCACAAAACTAAAAAGAAATCATATCAAGTCTCAAAAATTGTCTCTGACTTAAAATCTCAAATTTAGAGACTTGAGACTGTATCACAGTACAGAATCGCACGGATAATATAAACTATGGTGAATTTCGAGCAACGACAACATTTTTTATGGCGAAAAAAAACAAAAACAACACACACTTACATACGTACATTTATTTGTGGGAATACACAAATGTGTTGATAACAACTGGTCTGAAGAGAGTACGTACACAGAGCGCGAAGTTCCAAAGTCCAAATCCGATACATTGGCTTTCAATAATAAAGCAAGAGTGTTTTTCAATTTTAATTTTATTCGTATTCGCGACGTACCGTAAGCAAGAACGAAACTTCTCACAAACAACACAGTGTTCATCGGCATTTAGATTTTGCTAGCACCAACTTTTTAGCTTTGGAATATACATATTTGCGCAATCAAAAATAATTATGGCTTTTTTAAACAAGGTAAGAATACGAGAGAATGATCATATTTTAAGAAAAGATCCTTAAAAATTATTTCAATAAATTTTGTACCAACCAACTGGTGAGCGAATATTGTTAAAATAGTGTCAAAATTACAAAAATTTCGAATTGCTTTTTGTTTTTAGGCCAAGTGCACATACATACATAAGTATGTATGTGAATGTGAATGTGAATTTTTAAGTGCAATGACGAGACGTCAGCATACCGAACAAGCATATTTTGTTTGTTTTTAAGCGTCAATTCTGTACTTTGCCCCCCCCCTATAAGATGACAATAACCGCTAATTTATAGCTAGCTGAGAGCAAATATTTTTGTTTTTTGATTTGGTGAATACTATTTTAATGTGGATGACTTGTTTATTAGAGCAACGCAATCTTGGTTGAAGTTATCATGATACTCTATAAAATAATAAGTGCATTAGGGTGCTTCATTTTAGGCGATATTTTTTTCCTTTGTGCTACATCTTAATTAAACAAAAATTAAAAAAATTTCGGCTGGATAATAGGTTTCACGTGCAACAACGGGTTTGCTAATTCAAAATATAAATAACCCTGAATATTTTTTCGGTTTCGAAAAAAATTATGTATAATTTTATAGAGGGAAATTTTAAAATTATTACTGCAAACAACTAAAACTTGTGGTTATACAATGCTTATGCTCAATAATACTTTGTAATAAACATACTGTTGTATACCATATATTCAGTTAGATCTAGAACAATGTACTGGTGAAACGGATATCGGGTAGCCATTTTAAAAATTGTGGTTATTAGAAGGATTACATTACATATTTTTTTCTTTAAATACGGATTATGCATATTGTTTTAATTATATATCATTGAGACTTCTTCGTCTTCTACTTACTGGCGTCGACACCGCTTACGCGGTTAAAACCGAGTTAACCACAGCGCGCCAGTCGTGTCGCAATATGACGCCAATTGGTGATTCCAAGCGAAGCCCACCACCTAAACTTTCCAACGGAGTGGAGGTCTTGCTCTTTCTCAGCTTCCTCCGGCAGATACTCCGTCGAATACTTTCGGAACTGATGTGTTTTCGTCATGACCTAGCCAGCTTAGCCGCTGTCTTCTAATTCGCTGAACTATGTCAATGTCTTCGTATATCTCATACAACTCATCGTTCCAACAAATGCGATACTCGCCGTGGCCGACGCGCAAAGGACCATAAATCTTTCGCAGAACCTTTCTTTGAGACTATATACTGTTAAAGTCTCCTTTTTACGCAAGTGTTTAAGATATTAATAACATTCTTTTTTTTCAGCTTACAGCCACGCCTTTGCGTCAATTGACATCTCGCAGTTATGCCGCAGTTTCTCACGTCATACCTACTGGTCCCTCCTTCGGCATTACCGATGACCAGAAACAATTTCAGGACCTTACACGCAAATTTGTACGTGAAGAAATTATACCGGTTGCGGCCCATCATGATAAAACTGGCGAGTATCCATGGGATATTGTCAAGAAGGCATGGTCATTGGGCTTGATGAATAATCATGTACCAGCCGATATCGGTGGCATGGATATTGATTGTTATACAAGTTGTCTAATTGCCGAAGAGTTGGCATACGGTTGCACCGGTATCATGACAGCGCTAGAAGCGAGTGGTTTGGGTGTAAGTAAATGAGTAGACGGCAGTCATCAACTGTTCTAATATGATTATTTTTTATTTGGCTATAGCAAACACCTGTTATCATTGGTGGTAACCAAGAGCAGAAGAAGAAATATTTAGGACGCCTATTGGAGGAACCTATAGTTGCCGCTTATGCAGTTACCGAACCTGGTGCCGGTTCCGATGTTAACGGCATTAGAACGAAAGCTGAGCGCAAAGGTGACGAGTACATTTTGAATGGGCAGAAAATGTGGATCACAAACGGTGGCGTGGCAAATTGGTACTTCGTGCTGGCACGCACCAATCCCGATCCCAAAGCGCCCGCCTCTAAAGCTTTCACCGGCTTCATTGTCGACCGTGACACACCCGGTCTTACGCCTGGTCGTAAGGAACAAAATATGGGGCAACGCGCGTCTGACACACGCGGCATCACTTTCGAAGATGTACGTGTTCCCAAGGAGAATGTGCTGATCGGTGAAGGTGCCGGTTTCAAAATCGCCATGGGTGAGTAAAAGTTTCAACGAAGATTGAAACTGTTTTTTTCATATCTCATTAAGTACATAAAATGTACATACGACTAAAATATTTATGTATATCGTTTTGTAGGTACTTTCGATAAAACGCGACCACCTGTGGCTGCTGGTGCTGTCGGCTTGGCGCAACGTTGTTTAGACGAAGCATTGAAATACTCGTTGGAACGTAAAACTTTCGGTGTACCAATCGCCTATCATCAAGCTGTACAATTCATGCTCGCCGACATGGCGATCGGTGTGGAAACATCTCGTCTGGCTTACCGCTTGTCGGCATGGGAAGTAGATCAGGGCCGTCGTAACAGCTACTACGCTTCGATAGCCAAGTGCCATGCGGCGGATATGGCGAACAAGATTGCCAGCGATGCTGTACAGATTTTCGGCGGCAACGGCTTCAACACCGAATATCCCGTCGAAAAGTTGATGCGTGATGCTAAAATTTATCAAATATACGAAGGTACATCGCAAATTCAACGTCTAATCATCTCCAGAAATATGTTGGAGGAAGCCAAACAGTCAGCTAAATAAGTTAAGAATATATTTATTTATGTAAAATATGTACTGAAAAATCTAAATTAAATTTATGTAAGTTTTTTACGAACTGCTTGATTCTTTCAAGTAATTACTATATGGAATAAGAAAAAAATTTAACTACATCGATAGGTGGTAGGTCAAAAAAAATAAATCATACTACAAAACAATAATATACAATTTAAATTCTTATGACACTACTTTCCATTAATTGGTACAATGTTCAATGCAGATTAAGAACCCTATCACTTATCACCTCAAACAATTACGAGAACGAGATTGTTGTCCGCCTTGGGGTGGCTAGTTACATATGTATGTCTCTGCTTAGTGAAACATTTGTTATCGCTGAAATACCAGTTTTGTATGTTTACTGATAGCAATGCCAAAGAGACATACGTACATACTATGTCTCAAAAGCTTAAATTGTTTTATATACAGTGCCAATCATATAAATAAGGTACGGTTTTTGTAGTTATCTACTTGCGGTTACCACAGGTTATAGGGCATTGAGTTCGATGAGTTGAGAACGGACATTCTGGCTTTGAATTGTGCAGTAGTCTATCAAATCTGTTGGACCATTATGAACTTGTCTTCAATGAAACTAATATTATTAATCAGCAGTATGTGTCTGGAGGTTGATTTGACGCTCTAAATCCCTTTTGTGCTGAGAGAAATTAGAGCAGCACTGCTAAATGCAATCGGCCTGGGTACCTTCTTCTTGCTAATGCGAGGCAATCAAGACTCATAGTTGATATTCTTTTTTGGAAATCCGAGACCATTCCGACTAGGTGCACCCGACCTATGCACGGTTGATTCCAATATGCTATTTTTTTAATAACAAAAATTTAATTTATTTGTAATTGGCACAGTTTTGTTGTACTTTATATAAGTATATGTACAAATTTGATCCTTAATATATACTTATGACAATTAATAACTATCAAAGTTTTCTTCATTACAATCATAAAACTCTTACGTTAATCAAAATATCCTGATTGTTATCATAGGGAAACATGTGAAAATGTTTAATCTTCAGAAGGGTTCGTAAAATCAACCGTATATCTATCACCAATGCTGAAGCAAATCCTGTTCATTTATATACAATATCAAGCACCCGGAAAATGTTTTCATTTTCGCTTTATCGCCCCAATGTGATTGCCATAAACTGCGCAGCCGCGGCTCATATTCATTGCATGTATCGCCTAAAGTAAGGGATAAAAAACTTGGCATTTGCTTCAATTGCTGCACTTTCTCCAAGCGTTCCTCATCAACAAAGTGCACGCAATTCAGAGCGCAAAGCTTTCGCAAGTGTGAAATCTTCGATAATATAGTTAGAAAAGTGGCGCCACTTAATTTGTTATTATCACTCACGTCAAGTAGATCTAAGTCACAAGCCTTTAGAAGATTCTCGGATATTTTATATAAATTCATATCGCTAAGATGGCAACCACAAAGTTTAATGCGCCGAAACTTCTCGCACGTGCCGCTTTCAAAGAAGGACGTGATGGTTTCAGCATTCATGGCCACATTTCGTTCGTCTATAGATGTGTATTCCTGCATATAGCTCAAATTAAGCTCTTTTAGGCGAGATGCATTTAATTTGGTTAGAAGTTTACGCAAGGAATCATTCGTAAGCTTATTATAGCTCAAATCAATCGCACTTAATTGAAAGAAAGCCAAGTCAAAATCATACAAATTCGTTAAATTACAATTCGATAGTGACAGTTGTTGCAGAGACTTAGCCGCAGTGCTGCTACAAAACCTGTCCAAAATTCTTAAACAGTCGTTGCCCAATGGATTTTGACTCAAGTTCAGCTCTTCGAGCTCCTCAAGTCCACTTGGTATTGAGAGTAGTATATCTACCCCTTCCGAAGATATAAGGTTGCCTTGTAAATTTAACGTTTTCAGCTGCCTCAGTGTGGGCAAGGACTTGGCCAACTGACGGCAACCGTCGTTTTGTATGAAATTATTTTTTAAATTAATTACTCGCAGGTTGGCTTGATGCAGCACTGCCTTGAATATAGGCTCGGTGATGGGTGGTAGGAGCCAAAAGTCAGCTAAACAGATCATATTCGATGTCTCTGTTTGCTCCAATGCAAACAATACTGCACTATTAACATCTGCAAATAACGTTATCAATTACAATTACATTTAAAATAAAAAAAAATGTATATATATTTTATTTAATAATGTGTTAACCTTTTTTTAGCTGATGACACATTTCTTCGTAACGCTGGCCTAGCGGCGATATCTGCCAGTCCAAAACCGTTGCCAAAATCATGTTTTGCTCCAACGCCACATTCAATGAATCATTCTCTTCGTAAGCAAAACCATCGGCGGTTTTTAAACGCAAAATTGGCTTCAATCCTACTAAACTGTATGAAGGAGAGAGCATTTATACAGAATATGTTAACACTAAGGACATTTTCGTCTACATACTTGTAATAGCGTCTTGCAGCCTCTTCCGCCAGCCAACGTATGTTAACATCATTCAATTTTTTTCGCTCAACGGGCACCAATAATAACTCATTTTCAACTTTAATCTTAAATGAAATCGTTGTTGGCATGACCGGGGCGGCTTGTACTTTAATCGGCGACGATTTTGAGGGCGATATCAGGAGGTGTATGGATGCGGTTGTTGAATCAGGTTCATTTGTTGTTGACGGTAAATCAAAGAAATCATCACCTGATCTGGGACTCTCGCTGCGAAAGCGGCAAAAGCCATTTTCCAGTAATGACGATTGATGCTTGGTCTTACCTCTGCCAATTGACAAATTTGAGCAATTGCTAACATTGGACGAACCGGATAAACGTAATTTGCTCGTTTGCTTTTTGCGCTGCTGTTTCGTCGGAGCGGTTGCCGCTTCCAGCAGTACTTGAAATGCGTCATCAGGTGCAAGAGCATCATCTGCACACCATGTTGAACTCATGGATTCTGTATTTAGATTTTCTTTAGAGGTGGAAGCTATTTCTTTGATTGGTGTGTGGAAACGTCGTTTTTTGCGTTCTGGACCCAAATCATCAATTAACCATTCATTATCATCTATTTCGTCCTCATTCAATAATGCACTGCGTCGAGTTTTTATCGAAATTGACGAACCCGGCACGCAACTTAAGTCGTCAAAGGTATCCTCTTCAAATGTGTTTGCACGATTCGGATGTTTCAACTGCGCCATTACTGTTTTGTACTCCATGCCAGCGGATTTGTCACGTGGAGACTTTTTATTCGATTCCTGTAATAAAATTAGTTAATAAGTATAATTAAAAAAAAGAAAACAGAGGGATGTGAAGTACCTTTCCAACTTTTTTAATTTCAGAACGATTTAGACTAGTACGTTTTCTAGAACTACTATACAGTTCTTCCTCCACCAAAGTTGTGTCACCGCTATCCGATTCAGCATCTGTTGCAGATTCTACTTGAGCATTTGTTAAAGGTGCTGCCGATTTCTTACAAATTCCTGTCTTCGAAAGTGTTGCCACAAGCCTAGATCTAATCTCTTCATAATGGGCTTGCTCACCATCGGTTAGCATAGCTGAACGTCGCCATTTATCCAAACCATTCAGACAAGTTTCACCAAAATCGGTTTTGATAGCCGTATCTGCACCACGATCTAAGAGCAGTTCTACTACATCGAGAAATCCATTCGAACAGGCATCATAAAGTGGGGTTATTCCATCACAACTTATACCACCCTTATCATTAATAGCAACAGCAGCTCCACGGTCTAACAGTAGCTCTACTATATCGCGAAAGCCATGATTGCTGGCCTCGTGCAAAGGAATCCACCCAGCATGATCGCGGACGTTAACCACATGACCTTGGTCAAGAAGTCGGCGCACCAACTCTATATTTCCCGCTATACACGCCTGATGCAACTGCGTTTCGCCTTTATTATTACGCTTTATTGTGAGGGCACGAACTCCTCGTGTTGCCCGATGAGGCCGTGGTTTTTCTGTCTCATCTAAGTCACTCATATCTGAATCGGTTAAATCATCAAGACACACATCATCGCCAAGCTCTGGCGTATTTTCTTCAATGACTGTCGCCGCGTTGTCATCTGACTCAGTGTCGCTATTTCCATCGTCGTCGTTTTCTATATGTATGCCTTTTATGATAGAAATGCAAATATTAAAATAAAATTTTTTGCATACTATTTAAAGAATATATATATTTGCACCTTTCTCTTTTGCTTCTTCCAACAACTCATCTACAAGCATTTGCATCTTGTGTTTTAACATAAGACGCTTCAAACGCACAAACACGACACGTTCTTGTTGTGCTCGCTCGCGTTCATTAGTGTTTTTTGCTACTTGCTGCTTCGCCTTTTGATAAATATCTTGTATTGTCCAAAACGATTGTCGTTGATGCTCACACACTTCGGCTATTGCACAAAGCGTTGAGAATGCCTCAGACGGAATATCCTTATTAAGCTCATATTCCTTCCACAGATACACCAGCGCCTGATCATATTCTTTATTATCTTTATAAGTCTGATAGAGACTCACATAGATTGGAATTAAATTTTTCGGGGGATCCAAATTTTTCTCAGCGCAACTTAACATTTGCTGATAGTACTCAATAGCTTTAGAATAATTTTGTAGTTGACAGCAACCATCACCTAGTTTCTCATACAAACTTTTCCGTTTCGAATAGTCTAAAGAGCTGGTTGTGACCAATTCGTCTAAAATTTGACAAATCTTTACGACTAAGTAAAGAAAAAATTATTAGAAGTGAATCTATACGACTTAATTTAATAAGGAACGGTATAGTACTTACCAACCCGTAATGATTTCTCAATCGCATTTCGGTCATTTTCATCAGGTGTGTTCTTCTTATAAGCTTTAGTTAATATTTGTTTAGCACTGGCAAAATCGCCATCTTTAATTAAAATCTCCGACTTTGTAATAAGTGTTTCGCAAATTTTCTTGACCCTATTCGGCAAACGCTTCGCTACCTCCAACGCCAAATTGCAGTACCGTAATGCTATTGTCGAGTCATGCATTTTATAAAAATATAGCAAACTCATCGAAATATAACATAAGTGGGTTAATTCAAATAGGTCATGCGATTTACTAATTTTTATAGCTTTTTCAATATATGTAATTGACTCTTGGAATTCTTCCAAATGTTCTTTCACAACACCAATATTAAGATAGCAACGGGCCTGCATATCCAATTGTTCCTGTTTTGAAATTTGCCCTGAAAGTCTTTACAAAATTATGGAAAATATATGTATTACTTTTGCGCAATAAAACCTAATACTAGAACTCACTCCTTTATTAGCAGCAAACTCTTTAGAAAAGCACGTTCAGCTTGCCTTAACTGATCCATAGTGATCGAAGCACTTTCTGTGGTGCTTTGCCCATGCAATAAGTGTGCCCGTCCCAATGTAGCGTAAGCACGTTGCTCTTCCACCTTATTACGTAGTCTTTTAACAACATCTTGAAGTTATGATGAAAATTAATGAATATTTAACCATTTATTTTAACTACACTCACCGAGGTAAAGGTGTATGTGCTCTTTGGCTTCGCCAAATTCACTAAGCAACATATACATTTCTCCAGTCATTCTATGCGCTTTCGCCATTTCCAATTTTTTTCCCAGTTTGGCGTAAAGTTCTGCCTCCTGTAAATATTCGCGCATGGCATTTTGGTATTTTCCCTGCTGATTGTAGAAATCTCCCAAATTGTTGCAGCAAACGGCCAGTTGTTGAGTATTACCTTCACTTCGCGCCTTCTCCTTCCGTTTGATAAATTCTAACAATGTTTACAACCATAAATACACATTTATATGCCAACATATTTTACTATAGTCACCTACTTTTTTCGTCCATAAGTTATTGTTTGTACTCCAACTGTATTAATTCATATAGACGACAATAATTAAATAAATTGCACAGTATGATTTCTTGCAAAATACTACTTCACTTAATTTGCTGGTTGGGCGCAATTTTCGTAAACAATTAGATATGGTGTTGCAACCGATCAATTTTGTGTTATCGATAACTAATAAGTTTTAATAGTTTTGGTAATAAAACAATTAAACAACGAAAAACATTTTCAAACAAAATATATATATAAATATATGTATGTATATATTAAAACTACATGAATATCAATTCTATAAGAAATATAAAATACATTAAAGCATATTTTCGAAGGCAATAGCGAAGAAGACGATTTCCTTACAGACACTCAGTGTTTCCTACGGGGTATGCAGAATATTCAGGTGGCATTTGAATCTTATTTACTTTTTCCACTTTTTGTGCTCTATAGATTTTGAATTGATTCTTTTAAACTTAAAACCGCCAAAGAATTTTTGGTATATAAGTACAAAATAGTTCTAAATTAATATGAAAACAGAATTATAGTTTAAAAAATGGGAGTAAAGGATCTATGGTCCGTTTTAACACCACATGCTGACAGAAAGCCTTTATGTGAATTACGAGGTAAAAAAGTTGCTATAGATCTGGCTGGCTGGATCTGTGAAAGTTTAAATGTGGTAGATTATTTTGTGCATCCCAGACAGCATTTGAAGTAGGTATACATATGTTATATATTTTATTTATATTTATATTTTTAATTTATTTTATAACCACTGATCGTTATAATTTAATTATTTTATTTTGATGTCAAACAAAAGGAACCTATTCTTTCGAACGAGTTATTTGATATGGGAGGACGTGACTCCCGTTTTTATCCTAGAAGGCCAAGCGCCCAAACTAAAGAGTCAAATAATTTCAAAACGCTCCGAGCAGCAATTCCGTGGTGCCAAACCTAAACAATCAACAGAAACTAAAGGAAATAATAAAGGGCGAACAAGATTTAACCATGTGTTGAAACAATGCGAAACCTTGTTACAGTCAATGGGTATCCAATGTGTTCAAGCACCAGGCGAAGCCGAAGCATATGGCGCATTTCTTAACAAGAAAGGGGTATGCAAATAATTTTATTATATTATTAAATTTTTCACATTTTTTATTTAGCAGTTAGTTGATGGAGTGATTAGCCAGGATTCAGATTGCTTTGCTTATGGCGCCATTCGTGTCTATCGTAATTTTTCGGTGTCTACTCAGGGTGCCCAAGCAGCACAAGGCGGTGCAGTAGACATCTATGACATGGATCAAATTAAAGGAAAAATGGGTTCATATAAATGTATATACTTGTCATATCAGAACATATTTAATAAACAAAATCTTAATATTATCCATCAGATTTCGGGCAAAACAAAACTATTGTAATGGCACTACTCTGTGGCTGTGATTACTGTCCTGAAGGGATCGGTGGCATAGGGCGAGATGGTGTTTTAAAGTTATTCAATAAGTACAAAGAACAAGAAATATTAGAAAGGTATAATAAGACGTTTGAATACCGTTGTAATACGAATACACAGTATTTATGTTTAGGATAAGATCGTGGCGACAAGAAGATAATAAATATACTGCTTTGGAAATGCGAGTTGATGACAAATTGATTTGCAGCAATTGCGGACACATGGGACGTACGCAAAATCATTCAAAGAACGGATGTGGAATTTGCCACACTAATCGTGGTTGTGATGAGAGTTTGTGGAAGTAAGTGTGAGCCGCTTAGATTTCGTGGAAACATCTATTATTAAAACATTTTATTTCTAATCTTCTTATAGAGAAGAACGTTTATCTTTGAAAGCAGAACTTTCATTACGTAAGAAGGCAATGATGGACCCGTTTTTTCCGTCCGAAGAAATCATTGCTGAATTCCTCAACGAACCCTCCACGGTTCCCACTTTAACTTTAACTTGGAGACAGCCGAACGTAGTAAAATTTGTAAAGCAAATTGGACATCTGCTGCAATGGCCCGAAATTTACTGCTTTCAGAAGTTCTTACCGATTTTAACACGTTGGCAAGTACAAAATTTAAGAAAGATAAAAGATTTGGATGCAGTCGCTTATATATCGATAAAAGAAATAGTGAAAAAACGAACTGTGCGAGGAGTAATCAGCCTTGAAATTGTTTGGGAGGATGTGAATGGCTTCTTCAATGGTCTAATACCAGAAAATCAGCTGCAGGAATTCGAATCAGAAAATACGAAGGGTCTTATTGGACTTTGGAGCACAATAGAACCATTTTATTTGGTTGAAAATGCCTATCCAGAAATGGTAAACTCCTTCATAAAATCCAAAGAAAAACCACCAAAAACAACAAAAGGTCGCCGGAAGGGCAAAGCACTTGATAAAGCCGTGCTAAGTTCGCTAGAAAATTTAACCGACCTAATAACTGCTACCGAAGAAGTAGCGAAGGGCATCAAACCAAAAACCAATCAAATAAAGAAAGGTACAAGCAAAACAGGCATTCAATTGATTGACAAATTTTTTAAGCATCAACAGGTATCTGCTGAAAATGTTACCCCTATTAAAAATCAAAGTCTATACAGAATAGCACAGTGTTCTACTCCTGTTACGAAAACTTTGCCATCAGATTTAGAAAGTGATTGTGATGATTTAGCACATGAAATTTCAGATATAGTACGTGGAATCGTTAAGGCTCCTGACCGAGTTGTCCAAATTAAAACACATAAAGGACAACTTTTACATTATGAACCGGTTACAGAAAATTTAAGCATTTTAATTAACGAATGGAGTATTAAAGACGACCTGGACTTAATAGCTCACAAAAGAAATTTATCAGTTTGTTCGTATAAAAATGAAAATGGCACTCCTTTATCGAAGCGAATATCCTTAGATGACAGCTTTGATGCTTTGGTAAATGCGAAACGGCACAAGATTCGTAACTTAACGGAAAAGGCGAAAAAATTAAATTTGTTGACCAACACAACAACCTCACCAAAACTTAAGTCACATGTGGATCGTTTTGTAGAACAACACTGTCCACATACATATAGCTTAAATGGCAGCGAGCAGCATCAAAATAAAATATTTAGGAATGCATCGTCGGAGAATGAAGATGTTGAAAATATAAGCTATTTTTTTAATAAAGGTAGTCGTGAAAACGATGAATTCGAAAAATTAATGGATTTAAGCTTAGTAAATAAACCAAGAACTACATCGACGTGCAATGCTCCAGATGATGTCTTAATTATAAATGAAAGCAGTGACGACTGTTGATATAATATTTACTTTTATCCGTTTTTTATAATAAAATTGTTAATAAAAATAATGTGATTTTTAGCATTATTGTGAAGTCGAATTTGTCAATAGTATAATACACATAATAGTATATTCAAATTTGCATATGCTGACCCAAAATAAACTTTAAAAAATTCGCCATGCCACACTTCTTAACACCTGTTATATGAATATACAAAGATGTAGTTGATTAGTACATTAATATAATTATTGCTAATCAGTATCGCACATTTCTTCACTTATAATTTGTATAAATCTTTAAATATATCTGATTTTTATATTATATATTTGTTGATTTGCTCAAGAAATATTAATTAATTTATGGCTTTCGTGACTTAAAGACAAATATTCAAACTTCCATCTCAATAAAGGGTCATAGAATTATATACACTAAAAAAATTTTTATAAAACCATGTCAACCTAAAACTCCTTGAATTTGGTGTCACAATGCAGAACCCCTGTTCATATGGAGTTCATGGCAACTGAGAAAAAAACATCATTTTGAAATTGGTTTCCAAGGAAACACTATACAATAACAATCGGAAAGCAATCGTTTCAGACTTTTAGTCAATGTTGTTTAACTTAAATTTTTTTTAATTTTTTAGTGTCAATATCTTTTATAATTACTTATATAATATGGATGAGTTGTCGGAATACTCCTCAGAAATTCTAGAATTCATGCCAACACAACAGATGGGAAAGATATGTAAAATGGTCGGAGCTTGTGTAAGCACAGACTTTGAGGCAAGTAGTCAGGATAAATCTGTGGAAGCCACACTTCGTTTACACACAAGCACACAAACAGAACCCTCTACCTCATTACAAAGTTATGTTGATGAGCAAAGGCTTGCGATGTGGTTAAGAAAAATTTATCCCGCTGTTGAAGCACAACTACTCAAAGGAATTACTCCTTTAAACAACATCTGTGAGACCGTTGACCACGCGTTTACCTCTTCCACCGAAAAATTGAATACTCAAATATATCAGAAGATCACTGTCGGAGGCATAGAAAATTCTCAAGGCATCGCAGCATGGTTATCTGTACATACAAATAATGCACCCATGCTAGTAGTAAGCACCAGATCCCCACATGACAGCTGGTGTGATCATTTACAACAAACTCTAAAGCTGTTGGTACCCAACCGAATGCAAACTGCCAACCTAGTTGTTTATACTGTAGTCAAAAGTCTGCCGCTTAAGGCATGTCTTGGTTGCCTTAGTACGAATACATACAACAAGAGCATATTTGCTGGCTCCACCATGGACGGTGACATACATATATGGGGATGTCTATCAAGTAATCGAGTTGGAGATAATAAATCTAGCATAACTTTGGCTAATACGAATGAAATTGACGAACTCTGCTGTTCAGCATCTCCTCACGCTTGTGCTGTAGCTTTGTGCTGGTCAAGTGAAAATCGTCTGCTTAGTTTCCATTCTAATGGTTTTATCATTAGCTGGGTTGTGGGCAAAGAATTGATTTTGGAAAATGAGTAAGCATATCTAAATTAATTTATATTCGTTTTGAACACATTTATAAATTGAAAGATGAAATATGATTTTAAATAAGTATGGACGAAGGCGGAAGTGTGGAAGAGTGATAAATACATAACTAACCCCTTCCACTAACCAACTTCCGGAACTAATTATATTTTTAAATGTTTTTATCATCGCAATTTTCATAACCATTAATATTTTTTTATAACAATCATGTTTGCAAAAAATATGAAAATTATTTAAATCTTAGAACGTCCATATTTTATTAACTACATGTCAAGCAGAAATAGTTTTTATAATAGAATAATTCCTTTTGCAAAGTTTCCAACTAAAAGTGCAAGTCAGTGAGATTACAGCAGCTATTTGTTTAACTGCGAATACTTTCGTGGTAGGCGTCAAGGATGGTTCCCTATTTTTGTGTACTATAACCAGCTTCGGTACAATGCGAAAACAGATGGAAGTAGTGCCATTGAAAAAGCATTCATTTATGATTACAACATTAATCAAAACCGTGTTCAATAATTGCCCATCGGTTTTAAGTTGCGATTTAAGCGGACAAGTCCTTTGTCACAGCATATCACATCCAGAGGAGGTGAGTATTTATTACACACACCGAAACGCATATGAAAGACGGAATTATTAATGTGCCATGTTAAACAATAATTTAATGTACATATAAATTTTTATTTCATTTTCCAAAGGAAAGTCGGATCTTACGCATACCGTTGCCTTTTAAAAATGCCATTGCCTGTTCTAAGGATGGACATGTTATATATTCTCCCGGGATTGATGGCTCTTTAGAATGTTATAAGTAATCCATTTTTTTAATATTTATATATGAATCTGCACATGTGAGACTCATACCTACATACATAAATATACGGTTTCTTGAATTGCAGCATAGTCAGTGGAGCTCATTCTATTGTTAAAGGGACTTTACGTGGCAAGGGGAATTTCATCGCCTGTAGTGAAAATGGGTACTTGTTTAATTGCATACACAAAGTATAGTATATTATGTTGTGTAGAGAACTAATTTATTCCACCACATTCAGAAATTTTGTAGTAAATTTCACTTCTTTTTAGGAACTGGATAATCACTGGACTTTACGCAGACGACTTTCAAATATTTTACATAGACCATTAGATGGTGCATATGAAGAATTCACAAGACAAAATATGTATATTTATAAACGGTATATCTGCTGCAATGTGTAAAAGAAACAATAATAAATAATATTAATTTATAATAAATGGAATTTATTGTGTTTAATTTTACTATGTACATATGCGTTTAATTATTCACTCTTGTTTATACACAAATATTTGTTGTAAAATTGTATGAATAATGCTTCATGACTGCACATTAATTTCTCAAGTATATTTAAAATAATATGTGTATTGTATAATAACTGTTTATTTATAATATAGATGTAATATACAATATTTCATATGTTTTCTTCAATACAATTATCAACCATTTAATCCGATTTGTTTACAAATCACAGACACAAAATATTCAAAACATGTGCTTCATTACTATTATTCACACATGTGTATACACATTTTTCTTAAAAATGTTTATACTCACTTTGCTCGAAAAGTATTCCTAAAAAATTGTATAAAACAAAAATGTCCGCGATCGTAACCAGTAGTAGGAAGACTATATAGGAATTGAACAAAGAAAGAAAATATAGTTGTTGCTTATAAGATTTGTACATTTTAAATGTGCCTTATAACAGGGTTATTAGTATCTTCTACCATGCTACAATAAAGCAAAAATATTTATAGACAAATTTAGTTATTTATGATCTTTACATATAAATTTTTTCTTTAATTTCTTTTCCGTTAATAAGTAGTAATGTAAAGAAAATTGAATACACAGCAAAGTGTATTTGATATATGGTGAAATTTTATTGATACATCTATCGCTATATGATCCTAGTATTTCTTACAGTTTACATAAAATCGTCTATATGGTATTATAAAGTGTTTTTGTTTGCAAAGTATCAGATCGATAGAAATATATTAAAATTGTAAGCATATAAATTTAACAATTTATATAAAACATATCAAAAAAATATATATACTCGTATAATGGAAAAAATTGGATCCTTAACGCGCACTCATAAATATATGTACATAAAATTGAATCCGCTGAGCTTTGAAAGATTGGTTTTATCATATTTGGCACTGCCAAAGTATAGAATTAATACAATTTCCAATCAGCATAATATTGAATTCTCGAGAAATAATACAATAAATAATCCTTTGATCATACACATACAATTAAATACATAATTAGATACCAGAACGAATTGTATATGCTAAATGTATAGTTAGAGTAACAAAAAATTATATTGAAAATAATTCAGCTAAATATGTAATTATTATACAACAAGGAGTTTGTCGAGATGAAAAATCACCAAACGGATCCCGATGACAAACACCAAGTACGAAAAGAACTGTGTTAAATCAAGACAACATACATATATTCTCAATTAATTGAATAAGACAGTATTTGGATCCTCATTGTCCATTTGCTTGACGTGACGCAAAACATCTTTTTTCGTTATAACACCCAGCAGACGTCTGAAAAGATTAAACGCAATTATAACTATATATTTAAAGAGGTTACTTAGTGGTAAAAAAGACACAAAGACTTTATGCATGAAGTTCAATATCTAGCATATTCAACATGTGGGGTTAAATTTTATTGACTAAAGAAAATTTTTAAATAATTTACCCGTTGTGTGTAACTAGAGTTTGTCGTAAGCCCAACTTTCTGAACATATCCACCACAGTTTCCATAGGTGTCTGATCTGTCACTGTTATGGGTGCCATATCGAGTATCTTTTTCAACTTGAGCGGTGGTGGTCCCAAATTTTGTGTTGCTGCTGATGCTGAAGTGAATAATACTATTGATGCGCCAGTTATGCCCTCAATCAAGCGTTTGGCATTTTCTAAAGGAATACAGATCATTTGTAATATCTTATTCTTTTATGTGTTGAAAAGTTATTAATTTACCTATAGCTAAATTTAGATCCCTGCGCAGAACGAATCCCACTAAATACTGACTTTCTTTTGACACTACAACGGGATATCCATTGTGCTCCGTTTCTTTTAATAGCGTCTCGACATCATCCACAGTCATGGAATCTTGTGTGATTACATTAAGCGTTTCATTTCTCCTAAAAATTCAAATTAATTACAATAAATTCATCATTTTAAACAATGTCATCAACTTGCTTTGGCTGCATTACGTCGGCTGCCAGTGTTGTATGTGCAAACTCTTCTTTACTATCTAGGAACGGATAACCGTTAAGAGCTATATGCGCATCATAGATACCCTGAAAAAATTACATCGAAAAAAGTGCAAGGAGAAAATCAGCAAATTTGGAACATTCATTTTCATTTTCAGAAAAAGCTCACCTGTCTACCGAGTGCGTCGCCAACCCATTTTGAAGCCATAGCTGCTGCCATCAATGGAACTATATAGCCAACGCCGCCAGTCAGTTCAAACATGATTACTACCAAAGAAACTGTCATGCGTGTTACACCACCCAAAGTAGCTGCTGCGCCTACCATTGCATACAATCCGGGTGTAATCAGATTTTTGCCATTAACACATTCACCCGTAAAGAGCCATATATTCGGATAACTGTACGCAAAGCGTTCCACACCTAAAACAAAATCAAGCAAAGATTAACACAACAATCTGGCATTAATTTGACATAAGCACACCAATTCCTACTATACGACCCATAATTGAACCCATTAAAAGAGATGGTATAAATAATCCCGCTGGCACTTTCATTCCAAATGTGAAAACAGCCAAAGCAAGCTTGAAAACAAAAGCTAGTAGCAGTAAAATAATGGCATGATATACACCAGGTCCCGGCTCCGTTACTTCTATCGAAGACGTGGCTCCGTTTGTGATGTTCATACGCTTGTAGTCGCTGAAATTAGTTAATTTGATATTTATCTTTAGCCGATTTAACTCAATATATATAATATAATTTTTGGGTACTAACCATAGTGGATTCGTGCTATCGGCCGGAGAGCATTGGCTAAAAAGCAAGTAAATAAGCTCGTTCATATTCATTCGGGTGAATGGATTGGGAAAGCATAAGATGCCCGTAACGAGTGTTACCACCAGCACTTCAGCAACAGGATATTGGCCTAGCTTGCTAAATTTACGATAACGGCACCACCACAAATTTGCTTTGATGAAAATCGTACCGATCACGCCCTATAATATTATTCGCATATAAGAAAATTACAATGAACTTTTTTCAAATTTTTTTCAAGTACTTACGCCCATTATTCCTAAGAAGACGAATGGTATAAGCTCGAAAAATATCCAAGGCTTATTGTATTCGACGAAGAATAAAACCGAATGCTCATTACCAAAGGGGGTCAGCGAACGCAAAACAAATGCAGCAATCAATGCACAAAAGAAAGATCGCCACAGTGTTTTTAATGGAAAGTAGTAGGAGACCTCCTCGAGCGAGAATAAAACACCACCAATTGGTGCACCGAAAGCCACAGAAACACCAGCTGCTGCAGCTGCAGATAATATCTCTCTTTTCTTTGCTTCGTTGCGTCCATATTTGGGGAACATATGAGAAAATATATTGCCAATACAGCTGGCAATATGTACCATGGGACCTTCTTTGCCCAACGTTAAACCCGCTGATACAGAAAGCATCAGACCAACCGATTTAATTAACAATGTCCATTTTCCCAAATAACCACGAATAATAAATCCCGAAAGAATCGTTTTGATTTCAGGAATACCAGACCCACAAGCATATGGAGCGAACATGCGCACTAAAGATGCACTTAATGCTGCAAACATCAAAGCCCACAAAATGAACCAGAAGTAGGAGACAATATAGGCACCGGTCCCATTACGAGCCATACCCATTATCTCAGGCCAAGTTTTCCACTTTAAATAATCAAAACAAACACTTAAACATTAAGCTCACGTTATCTCGTATTATCATAAATTTACCGTTGAGCAGTTTCCTTCCTCGAAAACGGACTGTTTGGTTGGCCAACAGCATTGCTCGCGATTGAACCAAAAAGCCTGTGGGCAAATTCCATGCTTCAAATCGGACATCCAACTAGCGCCAATGTCGATCATGCCAGCTACGAAACCAGCAGCAATACCAACAAAGAGGACACAGAGCCAACCAGACCACGCGTCATGAGCACCCTGTGAAAATATTTCCTCTTATTACTTATTCATATATGAAATGGGTAATATAAACAAACCTTCAGCAAATCCCACAATGAATCTTGCCGCTTTTTCACTATATAGCGATGGCGCATGCGATCGCGGGCAATATCACGCTGCCAATCGATCGTGTGAAAATCATCGTACTGTCCAATACCTGGTATGTCATCGTGTGCATCTAGATATTAAATAATTTGATGTTCATGAATAAATACGTGGTTCTGATAAAACAATTTATTGTACAATTTGTATGTACATATGTTTGTGCATATTTCTATAGCTTACCGGATACACCGTAGAACGCCATTCCACCTTTACCCATGAAAAGAACAAATTTTTAATAAAGGTGAATATTCAATCGCCAAAATTATAAATATATACATATATGTATATCTACATTTATATAGGTATATCAAATAGAACTGTGAATGCAAAAAATAATTTTCAATTGGAATATACGTAAGACGCTGTTCTCTTTGTTCAAGTGTAAAATATTTAAAACACTCTGCTAAACACGGGACCAATAGCATAAAAAGATATTATCACTTTTTAAACAATCATGCCTAACATACATTCATGCATACAGTATGTTAGTTTTAAGTAATGGGAATGCCTGTTATCTGCTATGTGAGATACCTTTGCAAGTGATCATACACGTCTAAAATGTAATGCGATTACAAACATATTGAGCCATTAATATTATATTTTCAAATATTAACTATCCATAGCATGTGTTCTCGAGCAAAACGTTTTGAAGATGATCATTTTTGTAGATACAATGTCAGAATTCAATACGCATTGGTATCATTTTATAAACATTTTGGACAAAACGTCAAATGCTTGCTGGATCTAATGAGCATTAATTCAACTAAAATTCTGTTTAGTTATCTCTTGATTATCCAATTAAATTAATATGCACTTCTACCAAG